AACTTAATCTTCAAAAATTTTAAATGGGCGCAGATCCGTCAAGGTTCCAATTGAAACATTCATCGATAATTTAAGGAGAATCGTACTTTGGGGGTCGACGACGACTCTTTTCATCAATTTACAACTTAATCTTCAAAAATTTAAAGCTTTTGGTTAAGATTTAACCGTAATTTATGCTAACCGTATCTTTTCTCGCACTTCCTGCTTGTAGAAATATGACTCCATACTTTCCAGTCAATTTTAATCTTCAAAAATTTAGATGCAATGTAAATCGTTATCGTCCTGATTACTCTTCTACTGTTCTCGCCCCTTAGTTATGTTTCTGTTTTCTAATTCTTCCACACCCAGTAACACCTTGTGTCTTAGTGGCTTTACTGCCTTGCTTGGTGTGAAACCGATTAAAAAAACATTCTGTCAATAAGCATATGCATATATCTTTTTAAAGTCAGCGATTTAAATCTCACGATTGAAACTGATCAGCGTTAAATAAATGCTTTTCAGAAATATGTTTCTAACTGCGATTATTATTACTTTCTATGTTGTAACGTTTAGAAATAATTTAAGTTATAGTCAATGTGACACGCGGTTGACTGAAAGAAAAGCACGTAATCAGTTCATATAATTTACGTATACGTTGTTTTAACCATAAGAAAAGGTATAAAAAATGAGTAACCAACTATAGCAGATCCTACGTCAACTTCTCATTCTCAACGAATAAGCTCAAAATTTAATGAAAAATGAAAGAACTCTGAGTTGTATAATTTCTATCCAGTAATAATCAGTCCATCGTTCATTCTTGAAATTATTACGTTAATATTGCATTATTACGATGTTCAAAGAATAACTGTCAATCAAATTTAAATAATTTGATATTTGATCAGTCATTGTTTTTCGAAAATAGAATTGCGATAAAGAATTTAAAAGCCAACAGGCATTTGAAACTCTATTTCTTTATTAGCTTCACTATAAAAACTTAATGGAATTTAAACGACTGAGATATTGTGTAATTTATATGCAATGCTCGACTTGTGGAGGTTGTGTTAATGGATTAAATTATATTGATAAAAAATTGTTGAGTAAATTAGGCCGCGTGATGAAATTAACAATTTCCTCCACATTAAATTTTAGAATTCAACAAACATAGAATAAGGACAACATAAGAAACAACAGTTTTTGAACAACAGTGAATAAAATATTTATATAACAAAGAGGTACAAACAACTGGAGTAAAGATGTAGTTTTAAAAAATTCAAACGTCCTTTTATGTTTAGATGAAAAATTATCAATGTTCTGGTTTGATAGATTATAATTTGTTGAATGGTCTTTACAATAAGGAGAAAGTGTGTTTTGGTATTATAGTAATTTAAGAAAAAAAAATAAACAGTTCAGATTTGTATTTGAAATAGAGAAATATTGTTTACAACTTACTTTAAGGTTTACGGAATTGATGGTCTTTCATTTGTTTTCACTTGTTCGAAGAAAATATTCTAGTTGGGGTAAATGGTTCTTAAGAAGGTGTGTTTATGTTAATTGCAATAATTAACGTTGAGCTTGAAAGCTTATGAAAAAGATTCGTGTATTAAGTTGAATGTAGAAAACTTGAGATGATTGTTCGCCATAAAATATTGCTGTGTGAATGATTGTTCTCTCAGGCTGGAATCATGTTAAGGAACTTTAACGTAAAGCCTGGAATTGTGTGACGAGTTCAAAGGATTCCGATCGGCGCATTGTCGAAGATGAAAGACGTTTCATATTTTATTGCTAACTTTGGTCACGTGATAGGCTCACAGAAGCTTGATAGATTTTGGCGGAATTATCTTTTTGGGTCGATGTTATTAAATATTAAGTGACTAATTAGAAGTTGAGGTTTTCTGAAAATATTTATTAAGCTGAATAAGATCTGTGATCAACTTTTTGTACAAAAATTGATGTTGATAAAAAAGGTGGTAGCGGGATGCTAAAGTCTATTTTAGTCATATCCATGTTAAAGCACTTTTTAGTTTCTACTAATTTCCCGAATTTAGTTACTGGAATAAAACGCTTGAACATCCTACTGCCAGGTTTTTTTTCCACTATAGCAAAATTTCATGTACTTAAAAAGTTATTGATACAAAACATTAAGAAAAATTCTTTATCATTTTTTCACTCGCTTTTTCTCTTTCTCAAGTATGTCTCTGATAACGAATTGTTTAATTGCCACTAATGACTTATGTATTACACTGCTTTAAGCGATAGAGCTAAAATTAATAATCAAAAGTGTTACTTGCGATATTTTTCCTTATCTTTCGTCCCAAACAGCGAAAAAAAAAAGGGTTCATTGCGGTTGGATAATTACAGACTGAGGTTAAATTGACTTTTTCACACGTTTGTAGAAAGACGATATTCATATTCTATACAAGAGCGATTCAAAAGCAACTGGTTTTGATGAGAAACTTACGCCCAAATAAAAACAATTTTCAGGACGTGACAAAATGTAGGGCGCGGCACTTTAAGTGAAAGTATATAAGAAAGAAAGAAATGAAAAAGAGAAACGCCAAACAAAAGCTCGTATTCCCCAACAGTCTTATAAAAGAGGCGTTGTTTTAAGGTTCAAGTTTTGGATCCACTCAATAACGTGTGAAAGCAATAATCGTTAATATTCCAAGACTAAAACTGATGGAGATGTTTTCGCATTTTTCAGTTTGTTCTTTCAGACAGAAGAAACAAAGATGTTTCTTTTCGTATGCATATTCGGACAAATCAATATCGGGTTTTCGGCTTTATCAAAAATGATCTGAAATGCATTTTGAATTCAACTCCTTTCGTTTTGTATGCAGGGGTATAAATATCTCATTTTAATGCAGACATACATATTAAAACGAACATTCTGAATCGACAAAAATGGCATTCACCTTAAAACTCGAAAGGTCGAAAGGGATTTATTAACTAAACAAAGTTTGGGGGAATCTGATTTATAAATTTCTATATATCAGAACAATGCTAAGGAATTGAATGACAAAGTAGAAAGAATTCTATGCCACACTCTTCGTCCTTATATATATATATATATATATATATATATATATATAGATGCAGATATGTAGAAAAATAGGAAAGAACACGTTAAGTAAATAATCCAGAGCTCTTTAGTATTTTTGTTTTTATTTTTAAAAAACAGTGCTCCATACAGAAGTAGAGCTTAAATTATATATATATATATATATATATATATATATATATATATATATATATATATATATATATATATATATGATTTAAAAATAATTATATATATATATATAAAAGACATTTTTTTGTTATACATTCTTTTTATAGATACAAATATTTAAGCAAATGCTCTGTTTATAATAAGCAGTATTAAACAACATTTACCGGCCTGAATGTCCGAGAAATTTTTATAGAATTTATTCGTCCTCCGACAGGATTGCGAACCTGTGTCCCATATGGAACCGTCATTTAGCTTGACGTGCCTTTACCGATTTGGCCACAGAGGAGCGTTCGATTAGCAAGGTCGAATTTACTGTATTTAAACTTCAATCATCCATGAATCTCTCACGTTCATTCATATCTGCTCATGACGTATCAAATGTAAACAAATGAATTATGAAATCATTATGAAATAAACAAAGTCCGACAATTATTTTAAGACATTTTTATGTTATACATTCTTTTTATAGATACAAATATTTAAGTAAATGCTCTGTTTATAATAAACAGTACTAAACAACATTTACCGGCCTGAATGTCCGAGAAATTTTCACAGAAAATATTCGTCCTCCGACAGTTTAAATACAGTAAATTCGACAGTAATCCGGTGTTCTTCTTAATAATTTTATTTTTGTAAAACAGTGCTCAATGCAAATCTACAGAGCATAAATATTATAAATTTACTAATTTAAAAATATTTTTCCATCACTACACAGGAATTAAAGTCCCTAGTCGTGTTTCATTTCCAAAATTCGCTTGAAAATAAAACAGGACTAGGGACTTTAATTTAATTCTATAATTGAATTTGAAGTTTTTAGTTTGTTTTTGAAACATGGTAATTCCTGTGTAGCGATGGAACCATATTTTTAAATTAGTATATATATATATATATATATATATATATATATATATATATATATATATATATATAGAGAGAGAGAGAGAGAGAGAGAGAGAGAGACAAATGAGAAAAAAGAACAGATGGAGTAAAATTTCACTGTTCGGAGCATTTATTTTTAAAAAGTGCTCAGTACAAAGTAGAACAATATATTATTATTATTTCTATTATAAGAGATTATAATAAAAAATATGTTGAAATCGATACACATGTCTTGATTAACCAATTAGATGTCAGAATATTTAATTGGTTAGTCAAGACATACCCACAAGTATATTTTTAATTCTTACATTATGTCCCCCCTCACTTTAACTTTTGGAAAGAGGCAACACTTTGTTTTTAAATTTCTTTAATTATTTCCTTAATAATTTAATCACCAGTTACTTAACATCGCCTGAAGAAGTACAATCATAGTATTGAAACATGAAAGCTTTTGTGTAGCGATTTCAACATGAAGTTTTTATTATAATTACTTATAATAATAATAATAATAATAATAATAATAATAATATATATATATATATGTGTGTGTTTGGGGGGGGGGTAGGAGAGATACAAACGTAAACGATTACTGTACGCCGGGAGTGGGTGTCGATGCATTAAAAATTTTTTAAATATCTGGCGCGCGACGTGTCTAGACGAACAGCTCAGCCGATCTCATTCAGTTTCCCAACGTTGTTGTTGTTGTCGCTGTTGTTTTTAAAGTGTCCCTCATTGTGACAACAGATTTCCCAAGAAAGGCGAAATGTTGAAAGAACCGGAATGCAAATTTAATTTGGAAGATTCAGAAAATAGTGCACAGATTATACATATATTTAGTGAATTACTTTCTCTTTTAAACAATACATTTTTAAATCGAAATTATGCCCAGGTTAATTACTACTAATTCATTAAGTGTGTTGTTGTTCTATCTATCTATCTATCTATCTATCTATCTATCTATCTATCTATCTATCTGTTCAAGTCTTATCTATCTATCTATCTATCTATCTATCTATCTATCTATTTTTTCAAGTATTATCTATCTATCTATTTATCTATTTATCTATCTATTTATTTATTCAAGTTTTATCTATCTATCTATCTATCTATCTATCTATCTATCTATCTATCTATCTATTCAAGTCTTATCTACCTATCTATCTATTTATTCAAGTGTTATCTATCTATCTATCTATCTCATTGCATGGATAAGGTATGACTTTTATTTGGCATAATTATTCACTTCTGTAAAAAAAATCATTCAAGCATAAAATCTATATCTTTGTTTTTAATACATTCTTTACATAATTATCTTTTTACATTTTCTTCGTTTCTTTTTTGTTTATTTCTCTTTCTTATCCAAAGTTTTGTCTTTAATTTCTTCCTTTTGCGTTTTGAAAAGGTGAAATAATGGAATAATATTAAACTATAGAACTAATTTTGAAACTTCTACAATTTTTTCAATTGTTATCAAGAAAAATGCTCTATTTCTAATCCAGATCAATATGAAATGCTCTATTTCTAATCCAGATCAATATGAAATGCTCTATTTCTAATCCAGATCAATATGAAATGCTAAACTGAACGTCACCTGGAAAAGTTCCATTTCAAGAGCATTTATTACATTTTTTTTTTTAATTCAGCACCACAAACTAAATCATGAAAAGAACAAGTTAAAAATAAGAAAGCTTTTTCCAATCTGGATCAATTTTCCTCATCGATCCAGTAATCCGTAATCGATAAGAAATATGGATTATAGGCCGGATTAGTTCAAGTTTGGCTCAAGTCCGCTCTTCTGCAACTTCCATTAACAATCGAAATAATTTTGTGTTCACCATTGACTTAAAAAATCGACCCCAGTTTCAACGTCTTGTCATATTATCCAGTTGACTAGTTTTTCTCACTCGAAATAGTCTAAATGTCAAACATGTAAACAAAAGGAATTTAATAATTGAAAGAAACTGAATCTGTAACGTTACTATAAAACCATGACTGGGAATAAAATCAATCAGAACGACACTCCTACGCCATGCAGGTCAACACAAATGGCTTTAAGGAATTTTATAATGAATTATCGCTTGGGGAATTAAAAGAAGGTACAATTAACGCAAAGTTAACAATAAAAAAAAACAAACAAATCTAATTGACATTCTGACAAAAGTATTTATTTGTAATAAAACAAACTCTAATTGGAAAATGTAAAAATAAGTAAGAAATTATATATTGAAGTATATATATATATATATATATATATATATATATATATATATATATATATATATATAAATGTGGTAAAAACTTTTAGAATAATCTTCACACGGGATTTTAAGGGACGAGAGTGTGAATAAGCTTAATTCTGGGAAATTTGTTCCCGAACTTGCAAAGCAATTTATTTACGAGTCTAAATATAAGCTTCTTACATAATGTTTATAAAATTGTCCATTTTAGGATGCAATTGTTAATACTGGCAAATGGGACGGGCGCTCAAGTTTCTTTGGCAGTCATCTAAAATTCAATACAAAATATATGAAAGTAATTTTTTTCCTTTTTTTTTTTCATCAAAGCTGAACTTCTGTTTTTCTCGGCAGTTTGTAGAATAGGTTTGACGTCATTAATCCAAACATTAGATTAGTTTATAAATTGTTAGGTAGGATGAAGGAACGAAGTCATTTAAAATAGGCAAAAATTTCCAGCCCCTCCACTTATAGATATTTTTAAAAAAATTTCACGGCAGGTACGAATTAATTATTGACAACGCGCGTGCGAGAGAGAGAGAGAGAGAGAGAGAGAGAGAGAAAGAGAGAGAGAGAGTGGGGGGAGGGAGAAAGAGGGAGATAATAAGGAAGAAGACGAGAATGAAAACATTGAAGACTTGTAGCAGAACAAATAGTGATTTTCCAAGCGTAGCTTGGATGTGGCACAAGGCCAAAAGTAAGGGGCTCCCAGTGAGGATTGAATTCACTACTCAGTCGTAATTGTTCTAGCGAGACAGGCTTGCTAATAAATAGAATATGAGAAGAAAAATTAAAATTAGAATTAAACAAAAGAAAAAAAAAACACTAAAAGATGCTAAAAGTAAAAATTCAAATAATTTTATAACAGAAAATAATTTAACCCCCCACCCCCCTCAAAAACAGCCAGATAAAATAAACAAGAAACTTTACCTAAACGCATTCTCATGAAATACTGTTCAAGAGATCAATTTAAAAGCTGTGTGTAGATCTGATTCATAGATTAAAGGCTTAAAAGTAATACAAATTATTAACAATATTTTCCCTTGCAATTGCTTGTACTACAGTTAAATCATACTGTTTTGTATATTTTTCTATATGATGTTGTATATTTTTAAACCGATCAAACCAGTTACAAGAAAAAAAAAAAGGTACAATTTTTTATTTATTTACATTATTTACATTATTCGGACTGTTATCCTCATTTTCATTGCCATATTCACAAAGTTTCGGCCGTTATACGCCCCAGTCTTCTTCAGATGATTGGAATTTCGAACTGAACCCTTTATTTCGTCCACCGGGGTACATTGTTCTAGTTCCACTTGACATACCTCTTTCGGGTGTCTCAGCCATTTCCCTTTAACTCAACTCTCCAAGTTTTTTAGTTCACCACTGCTGTGGCCTAGTATTGAACTCCGACGTCTTTATCTACTGGGTCACGTGTTCTTAAGGAAATAAAGTGTTCGGTTCGAAATTTTAATCACCTGAAGAAGGCCGGAGCGTACAATATGTGAATATAACGATGAAAATGGGGATAACGTTCCGAATAGTGTAAATAAGGTAAATTATTATTATAATACCTCACCTCAGAGTTATAGACAGATTTTTTTTTTCTTTGTAGAACTGAGTTAGGAAAAATTATTGCCAGTGAAAAGGAAGATCACTTTTTGAAGCCGTCATTGAAATAGAAGCTGTCAGATTTGAAGCATTCAAATAATTCATGAGGGTGGGGACTAAAAGACCTTTGACCTGATTTTTTATTTTTTTAAATACCACGTCCTTTCAGGACATAAGCAAACATAGCTCTCCACTGATTCCCTTTTCTTTATTTTCTGTGAATTGCCACAGAATCTTGTGAAAGATAACGACGTATTTCTCCGTTGTTTTCTCCCCGGTTTGCAATTCAGAGTTTTCCTTTTGTTAGACTGAAATTTGAATACAAATTTCAACTCGAAATAATATCAACGTTTGACAAGCAGAATCGGAATAGTTTCATTAGTTTATATCAATTTTGAAGCCAACAGGTTATTATCATACAATGATTTACTCGGGTCAGTGTCTTCATCTTGGTTGTTACCGTCCAAACATTTCAGCTGGTTTACCCACCGGCCTTTGTCAGGCATCTTTCGTAGTTTGTAACCTTCTAGTAATTTCGAACCGAACGCTTTATTCAATCTACATTCTGTGCCCAGGCTAGAAAGTATCTCGTATCTAGTTAATAGATCCTTGTGAGGTCACTTGTCCTTTTCATTGAACCAGAGTATATGACCTTTTTCAACTATCCGACCGAGAGATTGAACTATAGGTAACTAGATTAGATTAACAAACATATTCATTAACTAGGCCAGAAGGAAACTTGGGGCTTTAAAACTAACGTCGCTTGTATGCCTCTTCATTTTTAATTATGGTGTTCATTTCTACGATAGGCCTCCTGATTAGAATCTAAAAGTAAGATTGGAGTAGTAATCTCAGAGAAGATGAAATCAAGTATAGCTGATATTGTGTGGTATCAAAAGGTGGAATCACCAATATTTATTACTCGGTAATCTTATTGGAATTTCGAACTGAACTCTTTATTCAATCCATGGGGTAGGGTCGTTCTCATTCCGCTTTTCTTGTTTAGATGATATTTCATATCACTTAAGACTCTCCAGCTTATTCAGTTATTTTTCTGATCTACCGGACGGATGAAATGCTGTGAGCATAACAACTAAAATGACAATGTTCATCCGAATTTCAAACTATATAACATGTTTTGCATCAATTTTGGACACAAATATGACTGCAGTGTCGATGACGGACAAGAAAAAAAAATGGTTCGTCAGGAAGTGATTTAGACCAACAGGTTTGGTTTGGTTTGTTTTACGGTATATCAACCTCAATAAGTTATTTAATGCCGACAAGATTTTTATTGCTGGTAACATTCTTTCTTCAAAAATTATTGTTGCTAATATTTTTTCCCAAAAATGTATTGCTGGTAATAAAGTATTGCTGGCAATATTTTTCCTCAAAAATGTATTGCTGATAAATAATATATTGCTGGTAATATTTTTATTTCAAAAATGTACTGTTGGTAACATTTATTTTCTTCAAAAATGTATTGCTGGTAATAATTTTTCTTTGCAAATTTATTGCTGGTATTAAAACCTATTTTTACACTTTCATGGTGTTTTAACCCAGTTTGGCGGTTAACTATTTGCCCATAGTTGGGACCTAACAAGTTCTACAACCCCGGGTCACAGTGGACCTGGGAACAACAGCAATTAAGAGGTAGTTCCACGCTCCACAAAACCTCCTGGTCAAAGGCCTTGGTGTTGGACGTAGTTTATCGCTTTATCCAGGACGCGGATGTAGTTTATCGTCTTACCTAGAATGCGGATATAGTTTATCGTCTTACCCAGGACGTTCGACTAATAGGTTTATTGACATCGTTGGTGCTTGACTCTTGAGGAATGCGGATATTTGAAATAGCAGAGTCGGAGTAAGAAATAATGTTCATAGCAGAAGAAAATAGTCGTCTTTCACAGACGCTTCTAAACAGACTGATAGGCGCTGAATCAAACATGAGAAATAGTAAAAATGAGAACGGAAAGTAATTAAGTTTCAAATCTTTCTTAATAGCAAAAAGAAGAAGCATTCGAAAATGTAAATACTGATGCCGGCTACGACAATTTTGAAAAGAAGGAAAACAAACAGAGGAGCGATTCTTTAAATGCCGACCACAAAGTAAGGAAAAATTGTCACCAGTAAAGAAAATTGGCACCATTTAAGAAAAACTAAATAATTAAACTTTGCTTTCATTTTTATGAGAAAACCAATTTCTTGTTCTACAAAAGATTTATATTCCTATGCCAATTACGAAGTTTTTTTTGTATACTAGTGTCCACCCAACACAATGCAAGGCCCAAAAGCCACTCAAGGTAGAGGGTGGCTGAATGGAGTTGTTGTATGCACGTAAGAATTGTAGATTATAAGGATACATAGAATA